ATTAGATTTTTGCCTGCTCTCAACTTAGTGTTCTTTGAAGTACTTTCACATTTTAATTGAGAGCTTTCTTTGCCTGTACCATCCTATGCCAAAGAAAGTAAAGACATTCTCCAACCCGAAAAATTAATAGACCGGACGGGAATCGAACTCAGTCGCCTCCAGCATGGACTTGCCTTGTAGCTGCGCCTTTACCGACTGAGCTAAAGGAATATTGTTTGTAGCCGTTGATTTTTTTTTAAATAGCATTTATCATATTCAGTTATTTATGTATAGTATAAATTCTGAGTAATTAGTGAACATAATAAAACACCCTTACATTATGAGATTCTATTTAATAAGACCGACCTAGATTTGATGAAACATTATTTAAAAAAAAAATGCATTTTCATTTGCAATGCAATTTTTTTTAAATTTAACCTGACGTATTTTACTGTCTCTGACGTATTTTACTGTCCTAAATGTTTTAGTTAATTTGGCTTTAGTTTTCTCAATTTTGTACCGATTCATACCAAATACTCTGCACATAATCGAGAAATTACCAGAGTTTCATAAGTCACACTTGTTGGTCACGTTGCGGTTGTGTATTTACACGGAAATTGCTTGGGTTCGAAATTGCTTGGGTTCTGTCCAATGGTGAGTCATTTTTATGATTTTTTTTATTTTCAATGTGAACCTAGCACTTTTCGTTGTTAAATAATAACCGAATCGTATACATGTGACTTTATGGATCATGCACGACTTATTACATGTATACAGGAAATTATAGGTTTTCCAAATCGTCCAGGACATCAGTTGATTTGTTCTACTAGATCAACCAAGACTGCAATAATGTCTGTAGATTCAAAGTGTCGATCATGCATGATCTATTTCCGAGTAATCCAGATGTTCAAGGTTCTTCAAATCGCCCTGGAGTTCAGATAATTTGATCTATTAGATCAACGGAGATTGGGACAATGTCTTTACTATCGAAATATTTCCAGACAGATGCACAGTGTCTATGTGGATCGTGCATGAACTATGTTCATGCATACCAGATGTTTTAAGTTCTCCAAATCGTTCTGGAGTTCAGATGTTTTATTCTACAAGATCAACCATGACTGGGATAAAGTATGTAGTATCGAAATATGTCCAAACAGATTCACAGTGTCTATATGGATAATGTTTAATTATTTCCACGTATACCAGATGATCTAGGTTCTCCAAATCGTTCTGCAGTTCAGATTATTTGTTAACTAGATCAACAAAGACTAGGATAATATCTGTAGTATCGAATTATCGATTTGGAAATCCTAGAACATTTGGCATACACGGAAATAGGTTGGCATGATCTACATAGACACTGCAAATTTGTTTGGGCATATTTCGATACTACAGATATTGAATTAGTCTTGGGTGATCTAGTAGAAAAATAATCTTATCTCCAGAATGATTTCAGAACTTATAACGTCTTGTATACGTAGTAATACGTCGGGTACAATCCACATAGACACTTTGAATCTGTTTGGACATATTTCGATACTACAGACATTATTGGAGTCTTGGTTGATATAGTAGAACAAATCAACTGAACTCCAGGACGATTTGGAGAACCTAGAATATCCGGTATACATGGCAATTGTTTATGATGCTATGGTATGTTCATATTGGAAAAAAGGAAAATGTCTCACATTGAACAGACCTCAGGGAATTTCCGTATAAATCCGATGTGACTTATGGAATTGAGATCATTTCTCGATTATTTGCAGGGTGTTTGGTTTGAACCGGTAAAAAATTGAGAGCCAAATGAACAACAAAATTGATGACAGAAAAATAATCCGGGACGGAAAGATTACAATGAATTCCACAATTTTTGTGACAGCACATCAGTCCCTTCGCGATTTCCGCGACATCATTTAATGTTTCCGCGATTTTCGCGACTGAAAATTCAAATCCGCGACAAATCCGCGAAAATAGCGAAATCCGCGAAATTCGCGAAATCCGCGCCTGTTGTAACAGCCCTGCAACTCCCATTGTCTAGCGGTGACATAAAATCTATCTCTAACAATGTTGTATGGCTGCAAAAATCTTGAGCCCGCGAGTTGGAAGGTGATAGCTCTACCGAAGATCCACCGAGCTCACGGAAGAATGGTAGAAAAAACCAATGTTTTCTAAAAAATAATGAAAAGAAAATATGTGCTGGGAAGCAGAGTTGCGACCTATCACAATCACGGTCGTCAAACAGCTGATGGTAGCAACGCTTTGTACATTCCTATCAATGTGCTCGTCGAAGCTCTTTCCATGACCATCCATCAAGTTGACGAAAGAAGTAAAAAGCAACTGGTGAATGTCGTCTTCGGTTGTGATCCATCACCGATCTGATCATTCCCGACAATCACGATACTCAAATGTGCTCGTTTTGAAGCAGTTGCTGCTTTGCTTGCTGATGTGAGTGTGTCGGTGAGTGAGCCCAACAGCTTCCATTTAATGTTGCCTGCTTTGTTTGTAACTCACACAGTCGCGCCTGCCGAGACGAACTTGGAATGCGTAGGCATTGTTTTCATTTTCTTCTGTCGTTTCGCTTTTTCTCATGATCGTACTGCAGAAGTCTTCACTGTTTTCGTTGTGCTTTTCATCATCAGCAGCGAGTGTAACGTTTTACTTGTGAGCAGCGACCATTGCTGGTGATTGTTGTTTGCCATGGCTCTACCTCTCACTGCGTGACAAAACGTTCTGTCAGCGATAGTCGGTTGATGCGTAGACGAGTGTCATGATATTTTGCATCACTGCTGGGAAGAAATACTAATATCTAGTCGGAATACGGCAAATTTCGATTTCACTACCACTGATTTGAGATGAGAGCCATTCAGCCATCTGTTGCAATTGGCAAATCAAAGTTCGCTCTCGTGGAGCATAGAAGAACTACGAAAGTAATGATGATTTAAAATTTACGGTAGCTATGTTAAAATGCTTTTATTTTGCAAATGGAGCATTTTTTTTAAAATATTATTGCTGCTACGGTGGTAGCTGAAATCTATGTTAAGATCTAAAAATTAGAAAAGAAATTATGTTTTCTATTTGATATGTCTATTGAGAAGCCCTTAAGTTTGCTACCAACGTAGCATCAACCAGATTTTATTAAAATAATTTGTTCGCAAAATAAATGCATTTTATGATTGCACAAATTTTGAAAAATGATAATCACTTTCATAGTTCTTCCATTCTCCACAGGGCCAGCTTTGATTTGCCAATTTAACACTTTGGATTTTATCTAGATAGAGCTGAAATTAGGGCGTAACAGCTTTTGTAAACAATAGCTTCTCTCGTGAATTCTCGAAAGTCATGGCTCGCTTTGGCAAATCTATATCACCATCGAGTAGGGGAAGACTTACCCTACTCGATGGATATGTTGGTTTGTGTAGGCGTGCCTTGAATTCCTAGATATCAATAAGAGAAGTAATTGTTTACAAAGGCTGTTACGCCCTAATTCCAGCTCTATCAAGATATCATCTTGAGAGTTTTCCACGCCAAATAATGCATGATTTTTTAAATAGTGTCGCAAACACAATGGTGTTCCATGCCCAAGGATGTCGACAAAATTTTCAATCCGAAAAAAAGGAGTCCGCAAGGCCGTTGAATCCAACTCAAGCTTGAGGCCGCTTAATCAAATTGGCAAAATCGCAGATCACTTACAGACTGAGTAAAATTGTCCTCAAATATCTGCTTGATTAAGGAAAATTTTACTCAGTCTTCGAGTATACTCAAAGATTGAGTAAAATTGTCGTCAATCTTCCTCATAGTCGTGCAGATGTTTGAGGAAATTTACTCAGCCAGAGTGAGCGCACCTTGGTAAAACCTTGCCTTAAATGAGTATCTGAGAACTCGACAGTGAGCATGCATAAGAGCCTATACGCGATGATCGATTCGCTTCGTCGATTTTCTCTTTTGTTAATAACTCGCTAGATTTAACGTTTCTCGGTGCGTTTGCTGTTGCTTTTGATAGTCAATACAACCTGTTACTACTCTGCATTGAACAAATTCTAGAAAATTGTTTCGCTTAGCTGTAGCAATGCAAAGAGAAAATCGATGAAGAGAATCGATCATCGCGTATTCGCCCTTATAGACGAGTGCACGGATGGATTTGAGTTCACTCACTCGGCATAAAGTGACACAACAGCGGGGCCCTGTTTACTAAAAATGAACACATGAATAATACTCGCGTAACATATGAAACGGGTCTATACACTTTTGTACATAAAACTTGTTAAGCCCTTTTCGAGCGAACCGAATACGCCCACGTAAACTAACAACACCATCGGGTAGGGGAAATTCTCCCCTTCCCAATAGTGCTCTTGGTTTGCGTGGGCGTACTTCGCTTCTCGTGAAAAGGACCTAGGAAGTTGTTTACAAAAGATGATAGGCCCTTTTCAAAAGTTGCGCGTGCATTATTCATGTGTTCATTTTTAGTAAACAGGGCCCCGCTACTGTGTCACTTTTTGTCGAGTGAGTGAACTCAAATCCATCCGTGCATTCGTCTATGCATGCTCACTGTCGAACTATACGATTGCAAATTTACCACTCCCAACAATTTGGAATAATGCTTCCTAACAAAAAAAAAATTATAATCGACATACGTTCTAAATGCATCTTCAATTTGATTCCATATTTTTAAAAAACAATTTTCTGATGAAATAGCCATAAATATTTCATCAGACAACCCTGCCATTCACCTGCCGAACAATCGCTCTAAATGAGCTCATAGCTATGTTATTGCTACACACACACACACACACACGCACACTCGTCGTCAATCCGCATTCGCTGTGCAGCAGTTTGGCTACTCTCCAACAGGAGACGCTGCGAGCGTAGCAGCTTCCTTCCTATCATCAAGTAGCGCAGCCCAGCCTCACTCGCACTGTCTCTGTCCCCACCCTCCCGTAGGATTGCTCAATTTGTATCCGGAATTTTCTAGCATCTATCCCAATGAGTGAAATGAAAATTCTACATACTAAAGGCATACTTACTATTACTATTATTATTAGACAATTTTCAACGAAACGATGGGCCTCCTGTGCTCGTGATTTATCTCTTTTTTAGTATGCAGGAATTCCTCTTTTGTTATTATTGTTAGAGAAGGGAAACGATTTCAAGCTCGCATATGTACATTATATACAGAAAAAATCCAAATCGAAGCGAACACGACGACGACGACGACGACTCCCTGCTTGGGTCACGCTGGACAGTTCGTAGGTTGTAGACGACGGTGACGGTGTAACACTTCACGGATTTTCGGACACTTTTCAGCAGCCATTCAGCGACTGATAAGGGCACAGAAATATGACGTAAACGCAGTCTTTTCGCTGACGATTCCGTGGGCAGATATTTCTTCCTCTGCAGTCAGTGGCGTTTTACACATTTTGCGAGCACTTGCACCAGGTCACAAATTTAGATGATTTGACACGGGAATCCCTTTGATTCCGTAAAACCACGAACGACGATGGCGAGCGAACGAGGAAGAAGGAGGCACCGATGCACGAAAATGGCGAATTATTTTGCTTCCCACCAAAGAGACACCACGAACTAAACTCCGCAGCAACACTCGGTATTTTTCAGCGACGATTTCAAGGTTGCTTATCGATTTTCCTTTATGTTGCCTAGCGCCTAGCTACTGAACAACATGGAGGAGCACTACGGTGACGGATGCTGAGATGGTGGTGCGATGTGAATTCTTCCGCAGGAGCAAAAAACTGATGGAACGTGCAACTTCTCTTCACACTTTTACACTAATCTACTACGTCAACTATAGACTAGTTACAGCTTATGCTTTCTGTCTGCTGCCGTCAGCTCTTGGTTGTCCTGTTGTTGGAGTGCTGCTGTTTAAGGTTGTGTGCATGGAATGGAGTTTGCACGTACACAGCCACAGGCACACAACGAGAACGACCGCTGATGAGGTGAGCAGCAAGCAGGCAGTTGGCAACGCAACTGGCTCGTGATCGACTGATGGACCTGATGATGCCTGAAATGGATGAATGAATTCGTGTGACAGTTGTTTGGCGGTGTTTGCTTATGTTGGCAACCAGCGAGCGAAGCCCCTTCGGGAAAAATGGACCTTTTCATGGGTGTTTTCATAGCAGTCGTCGCTCGTCGGGTGGGCGCTATAAAACGACGAATGACGGGGGATTTAAACTAACGGTTTATTGTGTAGGGCCGTGTCGTTGCGTAGTAACACAACGATGAGGACGAGAAAGGCTTGGTGAAAGAAGGGGATTCGGAGTGAAGTGGACCATTAAGAAAATTTAATGTTTTTATTTTAATTAATTTAAAAACTGGAAGCTATTAATTTGAACGGGTAAGAATGTTGGTGCATCAACTCAACTATGCCGAGGAAGGCTTATTTTTTTAATGGAAACGTTTTTCAGTAACAATGATTATCATATAACTACAGTATCCGTTCAATTTTGGCACGGTCATATTTCGGCACGGGTTTCCTTTTCGGCACGATTACGATTTAGGTACCGTGCCAAAATCGAAAAGATTTGTAAAATAATGTATTTTGGCTTCTTGTGATTACAATTTTTAATATTGTCTGTTGCAGTGGTGACTGGATTTTTGGGAATATTTTGAGTCGCACTTTGATGGTATGCGAAAAACAACGAACATTTTGGTTATTTCACGCCTAGAACGCTATTGAGTTTAACACATTTGGAAACAAAAAGGTGAACCATTTGAATTTAAACACGTCTCAAAATCATTTATTTTCAATCTAATTCATACTTGGAAAACCATATTATTGTTCACAAATAAGTAATTTAGAATTGTTTGCAAAATTGCAAATATTTTGCAAAATTATTTTTACACGTGTTTCGAGTAGAATGCAATGACACTGTATGATCTTGAAACCAAAACAGACACTTTGTTGTTGTTTTGATTCCGAACAAAAATCAGTCACTTTGACAACTCCATCTGTCATACGCATGGCCCGCACTTTCAAAGAGCGGAGTCCAGTAATGTGCAAAATGCGCAATAACCGATTAATTATTAATAACGTCTGTGTCATAAAGATGACATACAGTGGTCCAAACCCAACAAACAATTGCCTATTGAAGAAACGACTTCTTGACGATTTTATTCCACTTCATGCTTAATAATACTTGTACTATTTTTAATAATAACTTCTGTTCAGGCTTTGTTCACACAAATCTGGAGAATTTATTCAACCACAACATCGAAATATTTGGTGTTGAATAAGGTATGTCGAGAAGCTTTTATTCGACTTACAAAAGTTTTAACAGAGCTTATTCGATCAAATTTTTGATTATTCAGCGTTTATAAGACCATCTGTACTTCCTTAAACAGCGATGGTATAAAGGTGTATATAGACGCTTGAATCTCATGTGAAATAATGTTTAATTATTACATCATTATACGTTTATTAAACGATTATTCAACTACGGGATAATTAATCCGAAAATAAGAACGGCACGAGAAGGGTTGTTTTTCGTTAGTGATTGTTGTGTCATTATTTCTGTCGAATTTATTACATACATACATACATACATACATACATACATACATACATACATACATACATACATACATACATACATACATACATACATACATACATACATACATACATACATACATACATACATACATACATACATACATACATACATACATACATACATACATACATACATACATACATACATACATACATACATACATACATACATACATACATACATACATACATACATACATACATACATACATACATACATACATACATACATACATACATACATACATACATACATACATACATACATACATACATACATACATACATACATACATACATACATACATACATACATACATACATACATACATACATACATACATACATACATACATACATACATACATACATACATACATACATACATACATACATACATACATACATACATACATACATACATACATACATACATACATACATACATACATACATACATACATACATACATACATACATACATACATACATACATACATACATACATACATACATACATACATACATACATACATACATACATACATACATACATACATACATACATACATACATACATACATACATACATACATACATACATACATACATACATACATACATACATACATACATACATACATACATACATACATACATACATACATACATACATACATACATACATACATACATACATACATACATACATACATACATACATACATACATACATACATACATACATACATACATACATACATACATACATACATACATACATACATACATACATACATACATACATACATACATACATACATACATACATACATACATACATACATACATACATACATACATACATACATACATACATACATACATACATACATACATACATACATACATACATACATACATACATACATACATACATACATACATACATACATACATACATACATACATACATACATACATACATACATACATACATACATACATACATACATACATACATACATACATACATACATACATACATACATACATACATACATACATACATACATACATACATACATACATACATACATACATACATACATACATACATACATACATACATACATACATACATACATACATACATACATACATACATACATACATACATACATACATACATACATACATACATACATACATACATACATACATACATACATACATACATACATACATACATACATACATACATACATACATACATACATACATACATACATACATACATACATACATACATACATACATACATACATACATACATACATACATACATACATACATACATACATACATACATACATACATACATACATACATACATACATACATACATACATACATACATACATACATACATACATACATACATACATACATACATACATACATACATACATACATACATACATACATACATACATACATACATACATACATACATACATACATACATACATACATACATACATACATACATACATACATACATACATACATACATACATACATACATACATACATACATACATACATACATACATACATACATACATACATACATACATACATACATACATACATACATACATACATACATACATACATACATACATACATACATACATACATACATACATACATACATACATACATACATACATACATACATACATACATACATACATACATACATACATACATACATACATACATACATACATACATACATACATACATACATACATACATACATACATACATACATACATACATACATACATACATACATACATACATACATACATACATACATACATACATACATACATACATACATACATACATACATACATACATACATACATACATACATACATACATACATACATACATACATACATACATACATACATACATACATACATACATACATACATACATACATACATACATACATACATACATACATACATACATACATACATACATACATACATACATACATACATACATACATACATACATACATACATACATACATACATACATACATACATACATACATACATACATACATACATACATACATACATACATACATACATACATACATACATACATACATACATACATACATACATACATACATACATACATACATACATACATACATACATACATACATACATACATACATACATACATACATACATACATACATACATACATACATACATACATACATACATACATACATACATACATACATACATACATACATACATACATACATACACACACATGTCCGTTAAATGGGATTCGAACCATGACCTTCCGATCACCAGTCGCTTGCCTTGCCATCTGAGCTATCCTAGAATACATCATATGAACAACTAAATAAGCAATAGAAGCTTGAATCTGAAAACATATCAGCACTTCCAGCCGTAACTCTAGCTAATTCAAGGAGATGTGAGAATGATTAATTCATTCATAGTTGTTTAACATTAGGCCAACGTTACCTCTCCATCTATCTAATTTCGATGGAAAGAATGCTATTCTTTTCAATAGATCTATGAATTGGTTGTCGTTAGTGATACGATTTATGATTACGATTTAAGTTAATTAGGAGTAGAACATAAATAAAAAAAAGGGTTGAGGCTGGGATTGAACTCGCGACCTTCTACTTGGAAAGCGGAATCGGTAACCACTATGCTACCAATTTCGTTTTGTTGTTAGCCTGAATCACTGTTGTGGAATAATGAATAAATACGCCGTTTGTAAAGCATTTATAAAGCATGAAATTAAAACATGGACGCATAGTGGAATAAGAGCTATTATGCTGACTGTATTCACCTTTATTCAGCAATATTGTTAAGCAATGCAATGGAATCTAGTAATGGAGCTAGAAAAAAATTATTAGACGTATAATAAAGCATGTTATTAAATCAATTGAAACATTATTAAATCAATTAAAGCGCCAATGTATGTGCAAATTATACTTATTCAGTATGTTATTAGATCAAACTTCTGGTGTTGAATCAGGAAGACAGTCATCGTTTGTTTAGATTTTAATAAGTATATTAATCAAATCAGAGCAATCAGCGAAATAAAGGCGCATCATCGATCTCAATGAGGTTTTCTGAGCACATTATTTGACAACCCGTTTTATTCAGCATTGTACACTGTTATAAAGCATTTATTCAATCTAAATGCTTATTTGTGACTCTGAATTGTTTTTTGATCAGTGTTGTGGAATAATGAATCTAATACGTCGCCTATAAAGCATTTACAAAGCATTCAACTAAAACATGGACGCATAGTGGTATAAGAGCTATTTTGCTGACTGTATT